CCATCTATTCCCCACTCACCTGTTTTGGGGGAGATGGCAAATACTGGTTTTATCATGCTGGGAGGCAGGAAGCATCCTACTCTTCCTTAATTTTCTGTGTGGCCTAGGTCTAGCCCCAAGTGACTGACAGATATTTTAAGGGAAAATCCTGGCATGTCTGAATACTGTGGTGACTGATGGTTTAATTGAACCTATTTGTGAATTCTGAAAGGTTAATGAGTTTGAGTACAAACTATCATTCATCTAAAAGCTGATTACATAGAATTCACTATTTGGTATAATTAAAAGTTCTTCTGTACTAGATACATTGAGATTCATTACTTTCTCTCTTTTGGTGGGGTACTTAGTCATCTGTAAAATTGTGTCATGTGTATTATGTTGGTTCTGTATACCAGTGCAGGAAAATGTGAACTAGATAAGGTTAGGAAAACAAATATAAATTTTTAATTCTTTTTCTTAAGCTTAAAAAAAAAGATAAATATGCCATTGATTTTTACTGGTGGCCTGTGTTTTCAGATAGAAAAGAAGAAAGATGATGTGTTGTGTGGTTGAAAATATTTAACATTTGGTTGGAAATTTTATGCAAATATCTTTCAATTTTTGGGGGGGAAAATGCTTTCTAAAACCTAATTACAAAGTAATTGTATTTTTTAATTGCATATTTTGGTGCTTTTTTTAAACCACCTTTGTATAAGAAGAATTAAAAATGTGCACACAGATTGACAATGAATGTGCATCGGAGCAGAGTTACAAACTAATTCTCAAGATACTTCAAATCTTCAGCTGGAATGAGAAAGGCACCTGTTCAAGGAAACTGTAGTATACTGTATTTCACATGTGTGAAGCCAGATGTTTAGATAACCACTTTTCTTCAGCTTCCATTTAGGTCAGGGGAAACAGTAAATTATAGGGTAGTAACTTTCTCCTAAATTTATATGTTGCTTCTGTTACCTCCGGATCATCAGAGAAGGTCATGTCAAGGGGTACTTGGAGATTTGGCATGTTTGATTATATTTATGTGGCTTTTGAGAAATGAATTCTAAGTGTGATTACAAGAACATATAACTATTGATATTAATTTTACATCCTGAACTCCATATACTGTACCTGTATGTTATAAAAGAATTAGGATTCAAGTATATCCTATTCTTATCAGGTAATTATTCTTGCATCAAAACACTGTACATCCCATATAACAGTTTTAGTGGCTGTAGAAAAGTTTTTATTGTTTCATATTAGGTGCTTCAGTAAGTTTTATGGTTTAAAGTAGGCCATTTAGATGCCAAAACAGTAATGACTTAAAAGGAGGGAGGAGGGGCAGGGAAAAGAGAGAAAACAGACAGAGAATAGGGCTCACACTATTTATTAAGGAAATGTATTTGTATTTAATTTTCATACATTTTTGTCCATTCGGGAACTTTTAAATTTTTGCTCCACTTTCACTCAAGATAGTTATAGAGCAACAAAAATCATATTAGTAAAAACAAAACAAAACAACCCCCTCCCCCCCGATAGATTCTCCTACTACTCTTATATTTCTATTCATATTAATCTTGGAGTGACTTAATTTGCTGCCAAAAAGTTTGTAATCAATTTCAATATTTTTATAGGACAAGTAGGCTTTTAGTAATAAAACTGTACAGTAAAATATGTTGTTAGTTTACTTTTTATCTCAGCTTCCAGAAAATCAGCATTATGCCTTATGTCAGTGACAATAAGAAGTTCTCTTCCCAGTTTTCAAAAGGAAGCAGTACATTCAGGGATATTTGGAACAATTATTTTTTAACAGAGAAATGTTGAAAACAGCGAGGGTTAGTACCAACAGTTCAATCTTGTCACTAATTGAGGACCTCAAAACTGTGTCACCTGAATTTTATTTTAGGAAAATAGAAACTGCATTTCTTGTTTGAGTTTGGTTTGTCTGAGACTTTTGGATAAACAAGTGTATTAAAGGTACTGCTGTTGACTAGGATTAGAGATCATTGGTCTATTTGCTTGGAAATACAACATACAAAATCACCACTCAGCCCTCCTTTCTTCCTCGTACATACCTCTACTGGAATGTGTAAGAAATGTGTGTTAACTTTCTTGCTGCCCCAGGAATGTTGCTGCTGATGCTATTGCTATTGACCTTAAGTGGTCTCCATGTGATATATGCTAGGATAGGTCTGAGCTAGCTGATTAATGTTGTTTGTCTAGAGTCCTGGCCACCATTTTTTGGTTCCAGAATTACCTAGATTCATAGGCTGATATGAATCTAGCTAATTGGGTAAACCTCCCACTTTACTCCACCTTTGGGCTCAGATATAATTAATTGGCTCTGTCAGAGCAGACCTCTTAGTTGGCTAGCTTTTCAGTGAGCTACCTTTAGGGTGTGTTTCAGTCCTTGCCAGAAAATAAAGTTTCTCAGATTTTCTCTCAGACTTGTTCTTGCTCCCAGACTGATTTTCACACTGGAAAGGATTATTGAAAGTTACAGGATTAGATACTGCTTGTTTGCCCCAAAGCAGTCAAGCCACAGTTTATTTTCACAGGTTGTCGTTGCAGATTAAGGATTTTTTGTATCGCTGAGCCCTTCAATTCAGTAAGAGGGAACAGATTTTCTCTTTTGGGAATCCACCTGTGCTCCAATAGTATTGAGTTTAAAAATGGATTAGTGAGCCGTGACTGGACATTGATTACATCAGTGAGATGTGGTAAAAAAAACACCAAAAAACAAACACAACCGTTGTGGCAGTACTGACTCACAAAGACAAGGGTCACACAGTAATGTCTCTCTTTATAATCACCTCTGGGACTTCTCTAAATTGAATGAAGGTCACTTTTCAGGGAAATCCACATAGTCTTCTATTGAGCTCTTATTTACTTGTGGTGTGTCTGGAGCAAGTAGGGAGGAGACATGCCCCTCCTTGTTTAGGGATTAAAACTTTGAGTTATGCTGTATGCTAGAATCCCTTATACATTTACAGGCAAGATTCTCTGGCACAGCAAGCATTCAGTATGCACAAAGCTAGATAAAACTAGATCTGCACATTGATATTTGCTGCTAGGATGTTTGCTGCTAGTGTTGCTTTTTAGGCCCTTGAGCCTCATTTTTGAGGCATACCTTTGAAACTCCAGGTGGGAATGGATGTCTCCTGGTCGATGCATATCTTAAAGATTTTGGTTGTATGTATACTTCCAGAAATCCCTTGCTGGCTGATTAGCTGCCTGCAGTTGTGCTCAAATGTCTTGTTTTCCCACAAGGCATGAGACAGCTGAATGGTAGAGCTGCAACCAGCTGGCTGCCTTACAAGAGAGCCCTGGTCCAATGATGATCTGTTTCTGATGGTAGTACTGAACTTGAGGTCTGGTAAGGCAAGTCTCCTAGGGCAAAATGGTAAAAGAGGAGGCAGAGTTCCTAAAGACGTGCCTCTCCTCTTGCTGCTGTGTGTAGTACAACCAATAGGAGGTGATTACACTGATCAGTTCTTTTACAATGTGAAAGGTTCTGAGAGCGAGGAATCATGGAAAATTAAGGTTGGAAGGGACCTCAGGAAGTCAGCTAGTCCAACCTCCTCCTCAAAGCAGGACCATCCCCAACTAGATCATCCCAGCCAAGGCTTTGTCTAGCCGGGTCTTCAAAACCTCCAAGGATGGAGATTTCACAACCTTTCTAGGTAACCTGTTCCACTGCTTTACTACCCTTCTTGTGAGAGATTTTCCTAATATCTAACCTAAACTTCCCTTGCTGCAACTTGAGACCGTTGCTGCCTGTTCTGTTATCTGCTACCACTGAGAACAGTCTAGCTCCATCCTCTTTGGAACCGCCCTTGAGTTAGCTGAAGGCTGCTATTAAATCCCCCCTCAGTCTTCTCTTCTCCTGATTAAATAAGCCCAGTTCCCTCAGCCCCTCCTCATAAGTGATGTCCCCCAGCCCTCTAAACATTTTTGTTGCCCTCCGCTGGACTCCCTCCAGTTTGTCTACATCCTATCTGTAGTGAAGACCCAAAAACTGGACACAGTACACCAGATACGGCCTCACCAGTGCTGAACAGAGAGGAAGAATAATTTCCCTCAGACTGCTGGCAATGCTCCTACTAATGCAACCCGGTGTGCTGTAGCCTTCTTGGCAACAAGGGCATATTGTTGGCTTATATTCAGCTTATTGTCCACTGTAACCCCCAGACCCTTTTCTGCAAAGCTGGTGCCCAGCCAGTCAGCCCCCAGCCTGTACTGAAGCATGGGATTATTCCATCCTAAGTGCAGGACTTTGCACTTGTCCTTATTGAATTTCTTGAGATTTCTTTTGGTCCAGTCCTCCAATTTGTCTAGGTCTCTTTGAATCCTAATCCTACCCTCCAGTGTGTTTAGTACTCCCCCAGCCTGGTGTCATCAGCAACCTTGCTAAAGGTGCACTCCATCCTATCTTCCAGGTCATTGATGAATCCCTTAGAACTCTCACAGGTGGGTGTCTTGCACTCAATCACGTAGTTCTGTCCTAGGGCATTTTAGTTTTACTTGGAAGAATAAAGAAAAGGAAGTCATAGTAGTAGCCACTGTGTTGCAAGATGTTCTTTCCATTGTCCCTGGTATTTGAGAGAGGGGGAGGATGCATAACATTGCCAATATTTAAATACTTGGGGTTGGTCTGAACAGATGATCGGCGTATGGTATTACTGTAATTAATTTTAGATAACTAGTCATTATTGTGTCCACTGTACAACTGTAATAGGATGCATCTTATATAGTGGTTTTCAACATTGCTTCAGGAAAGTCTTGTCCTTTTTTGTTTTCTACTTATATTTCCCCAGGGGAAAATCAACTCTCATACGTCAGTTATCTGGTCTTATTTCCTTAGAGTTCATACCTTCCTTTTCCTCTCACTTTGCTTCCTTTCTGGCAGCAAACGAAATGCCAAGAGTGGCTGACCATAGTGATACCACAACCTCAGTGAGAAACTAAATAAAATTTGAAACAGTGTCACAACTTACTCTAACACACTTTTAAAAATATTGCAGGTACCTTTTGTATCTTCAGCTCAAAAGGGACATTTTCCATGGCCGTTTGCTGTGTTCTTTTTCTGATGCTGCCTACCTGGGTGCCTGTATTGTCCAAGGTAAGTGCAGCCAAGAGTATGTTGGGAAGATTCTTCAGTATCTGGAGAGAGTTGTTTTTATATAAACAGCAAAAAGTTAGGAAAATATTTCAAAGCATTTCTGCATACAAGTATAACCAGTTCTATAGGAAATAAAGAACAAAGAAAATGTGTTAGACACTAGGGCTGTGTGAAGCTTTGGTCCCTGGTTTGATCTGGCAGAGATTCAGCCAGATTCAGTGGCCGAATCTCTGAATCCGAATCGAATCAGGAGACCCTTTAATCTCTCCAAATCGAATTGTAACCCTCCAAATCAATTCGATGATTCAGACACAGACACAGCTTTAAATGTTTTTTCTACATAGCTCAGGGTACCAGGGGGCTTGTGAACGGTGATATGGTGGGGCAGATGGAGTGTCCCACAGGAGCACGGGGGGCTCCCCACTTCCAGCTCCACTTCCAGGTCCACTGGGGAGCATGCCAGGGGTCCGTCCAGCCCCCTTGGATTGGCAACTGGTGCCTCCTGGGTCTGGGGGCACCCGGGGTCTGAGCCGGGGGCAGGACCCACGTGCTTAGCGGTGGACACGGAATCAGCATTGAATCAGTGCTGGCTCTCTGAATCAGCATCGAATCTTCGGATTCAGATTTGGCTGAATCAAACCGGGGGCAGTGATCCGAATCAATGAATCGAATCACTGTCCCTGATTTGGGCCAAATCCAAATTGAATATGGCCCATTTCACACACCCCTATTAGACACTAAGTTCAGATGGCATTTCTATGACACAAGAAGCCTGAGTGGTGGATCCCAAAGCAGAGGTTGAAAAATACAGTTGTGATGATGATCACCTCACTCTCCAGGAGTACTGTCTTTATTTTCCTTTTCCCTTGGCATCCAATGAAAGGTAGGCTTAGAAAAATTAGTAAAGCTAATGAGTACCACATGATATAGAAGCTTGTTTGGGATTGTTAACCCAGTGATGAGCACAAAGGAAACAGAAGGTGACAGTGGCATACCAGCAATATTGGAGGGTGATTCAGTTTACAATTACTGAAATAGGATCCCTGTGTTGACCCCCCTGGCCTGTCCTTATAGGCCAAATTTTGAGGAAAACTGGAGGTCCCTCAGTACTATATCCATTTTTGGTTGTTACATTTCAAGAAAGACATGGCAAAATTGGAAAGGCTTTGGAAAAAGCAAAAAAAAAATTATTAGAGGTCTAGAAAACATGACATTTGAAAGACAGTTGGAAGAAATGGTTTATGTAATTCAGGAAAGAGAAGACTGAAGGGTGGTTTGCTAATAGTCTTCAAATACAAAAGGGTTGTTATAAAGAAGATGGCAGTTGGTTTGTTTTCTGTATCCACTAGGAACTGGAGAAGAAATAATGAGCATAAATTGCAACAAGGAAAATAGGTTGCATATTAGGAAGAACTTTCCAAGTATAAGGCTAGTTAAACACTGCAGCAGATTGCCTAAGGAGGTAGAGAGATTTTCAAAGGAGCTGTGTGTCCAGAAGCTCCTGTGAAAGTCTGTCAGCCAAATGGTAGTGCTAATTCTGTGTTGCTGTGTTGGGTAGAATGACACTGATTATTTCAGTGCTGAAGGAAAAGAGGATCCTTCTTGAGGAAGAAGAGGTTGTTATAAACAGCGTGGTCAGTTTATTAACTGCTTATTAGCAGAATAATGAATGGTGGTAGATCTTTTTTAACCATTTTCCCTTTTTTTAGAACTTGTTACCAACCAGATAACAATTTTGAATTACTTCTGTAATGAATTCAGTGCAAATGGCACTTTGTGCCCAAAAGTTTGTCTAAATGTCTCCCAACTATGCAGTTGGTCTAAGAAAAGAGATCACCTACAAAAATCCAGACTTCACTTCAAAACTCATTTAGTGGATGGGAAGCAGTTTGCGTAGTAGTAACTTTCACTACACTAAGAGTGGAACAAACTTTCCATGTAATCTTGTAGCCTTAGTTTCATCATGAATATAACAAGCTGGCTTTTCTTTAGAAATATGGTTTTCTGAGCTCTTGCTAAATGTGGCAAATTTCTGAATGATACCTGGAAATCTCTCTCTTGGATGGAATGTATTTGCTGTCTATGTTTTACTTTATTATCTTTTTTATTTTAATTCATTCTTCTATTTTGTTTTGCATTTTTGACCTGTCTAGCTGAGCTTGGTGATTATGATCCTGATGAACACCCGGAAAATTACATCAGTGATTTTAAGATTTTCCCCAAGCAATCACAAAAGCTGGAAAGAAAAATAGCTGAAATGCATAAAAATGAATTCAGGTAATTTAGAGTGCTGCCTGTGAAAGAGGCAGCTATCAATTATTGTGTGTCTGTTTTCATATAGAATGCATAAGTTATTCTCCCCTGCACTTTTAATATGTATTTTAGATATTCTTCTTGTGCAAAGTACTGTACACTTGTCATTTTAAAGATGTTAAGAGGACTATAAAAAAACATTTTAATCATAATTAACTCCTACATGCATGCTTCAAACTGGTTCTGTGGCATGTCTGGGCATGAAATGTATGGCTATATAAGTGGGAGTGGCTTACCCTATGAGAGCTGTTGTGAGCAATGTAAGGGTGCGTCTTTCCCATGACACTGATCTTTATGTAAGCACTTGATAACCATACAGAGCTTCTTATACTGATATTTATAAACTTTGTTACTGCTATTGTAGTTTAAGTTCCACCTAATGTTGTTTTGTTGGTATCTTTAGCTGTTGATATAATTTACTATGCATAGCATATGTGGGCGAACAACGATAAGTGCTGGTAATATATATTGATACATATTCAGATAACTTTTTTAGAAGGGTGAAGGGGCTGCATTCAGGGCACTTTTGTCCCCCACAGTGTTTCTTTTTCCTGCCTTTACAGATAGCACAGAGAGGATTAGATCAAATAAAAATTGTTCTCTTGATCCCATTTAATATGCCTCAGAGGTGAAACTGCCTGTTTCTTTTGAGAAGATCTGCTTTGTGCAAGCGCACCCCCTTCAGGACTGTCTAAGAATAACACAGACAGTAGCAATCAACGTGGGCAGTAGTAGTAAAGGCAATCCTGCAGCCCGCTTAACGAAAAGATGCAGTGCACAGTTTGGTAGGCAATCACAAGAAAATGATTATTTGTATAATACGGTGTTAACATTCCTTGGGAATTGTCCTTGCTGATGGCACATCAGATTACATTATATGCGGTATATAAGTGAAATTTCACTAATTCAGAAAGCAACCCACATTTCCACAAACCAGAATGAAAAGGAATATGGTCGTTTGAACAGAACAGTGTACTCTGTGTGCCATGCTGCAGAGGAGGGAGAATGATTGTTATTTAAAGACATAAAGGAACTCAGCTCACTTTTGCTTTGTGTTTCTACAATTAAGTAATTACTATTTTTGATAGACATACAGTGTATCTTATTATGCAGAAATATTACTTCATTATTAATGGGGGGACTGAAAACGAGAATTTTTTTTCTAAATCCCTTCTCTGAAGGGTTTAAATATCGTTGCTCTGATAGACAGCTCAAGGTGTGTATCAAGAGTTTTGTTAATCCATGAACACAGCCTTAGGGACAGTATGAAAATCACAGGGATAGCTGGTATGTTCAATACTCCTAGTAAAAAAATGTTGTGCCTTAGCTCAAAGGAAGGCTGCAAGTGTTGCTGAGCCTTACTTTTTTCTGTTCTGGGAGTCTATACACTTCTTTTGTCAACACTATCCCTGAAACAACATAAAGATTTTATACAATTAATAAAACAATCTAGAGTCATGCTAACTTTCATATTAAACCAGCTAATATTCCAAAGAGAAGCTAAAATTCCTCTAGTTGTCAGCAATGCAGATGCAGTTTTGACAGTGCTCTTCCAGACACTGTCTAGTATATTCCCATAGGCAAAATCCAACCTCTAATGTGAGCAAAGGTCTTCCATTGATCTATGACCAATTATGGGCAGTAAAAGAAAGATATGAGTACTGGTAAATGCCTTAGTACAGGAACATACCCTTCCTTTAATCAGACTGCAAATGAAAAAAGGAGGAGAATTCACTAAGAAACATTAGATTTTTATTACAGCCCTGCTTTTCACTAAGGCAGTAGTGTAACTAGCTGTGGGTGAGCAGAGCACCAGCTCTGGGCGCCAATTTAGAGGGAGTGCCAGAATGACAGCCCTGGGAAGCTTGTGCAGCAGCAGTAGCCAACACTACAGTGACTTTGTGTGGCACTAGTGGTGGTGGCAGTGGCAGCAGTGACAGCAATGGTAGGAGCTCCCAGGTTGTAGGGAGACTGCTGCAGCACTGGCAGCAGCAAGGATAAGCTTCTAGTAAGATTGCTTGGCACCTCCCCTCCACCCTGCCAAAATTCCCATTTATGCCTCCTCACTGAGCTCTCAGATTGGCCTCCATGTTTGTACATATAACCTTGTTTTAACACATTTAACATATCGTTATAACACATTTTTCTAGCACTAATTCCAGCACAATAGCGATAGATTCCATTTGAGCACACAAATAGAAATTGCATTTTTGCAACACATTGGTGGCATGTCTGCCTCTTTGATTTAACTTACATCTGTTCAGGTACCCTTGTCGGGAAACCGAATACACAGGTATTTATGCTTGCTCAGCAAGTTTAGGAAAGGAAGTATTTTTTTTTAATTAAATTATTTTTTTTAATAAATCCTCAAAACTGATTGTTACTAGCTGGTCATTACCATAGTATTCAATGAACGCCAGTTCAAGTAACATAACCTTATTTCTCCTTTTAAGTTCTTCACTTCCACAGCTCTCAATACGAATAGTGTGACACATTTCTGTCATGCAGTAGTTAAACTATGTATAAGTTCCTACAGTATTTAAGATGATATTTTAATACTTATGGTAAAAAGTACATGACAAATATTGGAAAAGCCATTTAATTTATACGTTTTTTCATATTATGGATATAGTTTATTGGTATGCCTGTTTCACCTTGCTGTAGCCAGGTTTTACTGATATCTTTTATTGGACAACTTGTATAGATGAGAGAGATGTTAAACAAGCTTTTGTGCCATACGTTGAGGGGTACATTGTGCCAGAAAGCTTCTTGCATCTCCCCACAGCTCTATAGTTTGCCCAGGAAAAGATATCACCAGAAAAGCCTTGCTTCTTACATGTTTCCTGGACCATCATGGCTATAAAAATCCAATCTCACTCAAGGAAGCACATTTAAAAATTCATATTTCATAGGGGTTTTAAGAAGAATACTGACCCAATAACTGGGAATTAGTTAGTCCACCAGTACTTACAAAAACACTGCAAATGAGTTTCTGAGATTTTTGTAATAAGGCTATTTGAGTTATGGATTAATGATTGTAAATGGTAGAAAGACTTGAGATCTGATTTTTGTTTGTATCCATTTTAAACCAGTATCATTCAGCTGACTTCAAAAGAGGTAATTTTGATTAGGATCAGCCACTGTCTTTTTGTTTGGTATAGGTCTGGGTCATTAAAAACCAGGACATCTCAGTTTTGAAGCATGTTGTCTGTTTCTTTACTGAATCCCACGTCATCATTCTTAGGATCCATTACCTGAGTGCATCTAGTTTGTTCCAGAACTGTTTTTTTTCTTTTAATGAATGAATGAGAAAGTGAAAGAAATGCCTGGGAAGTAGCTGATGGAGTATAGTGACAGCTGCAAATGACTACAGTGACTCACTTTATTTCATTGAGAAACCTTGTTCCTATTAATTAGTACAGATGTATGATGTGGTGCCACTGCCTCTCACTCTCTTTATGCAACTGTGAAAACCTTGTCGGGTTTTTATCAAAATACGGCCTTTTGCATGACCTTTCTCTGAATCTGCCTGGGCAAATTGAATCTCATGCTGGGCGGAGGGGGGGGGTAAAGGCAGAGACTCATGAAAAGCTGTGATTAATTTTGTCTTGTGACATTATTAATTCCATGCACCTCAGGGAAGAAAGGGGAGGGGTATTTTAATAATTTAATCAGACTTGACCAGGGGGCTTCATGAAGGCCTGTTCTTATCTTATCCTAACAGCTATTTATCTGGGGTTTCATGTCATCACACATAAGGACACTTTTAAAACATGACACACCTGTGTGTGTGTGAAAGAGATTGATTTTATATGTGGTTGCTAGAAACAAAATCAATAGTGAAATACAGTAGATTCCTTTTATTGGAATCACTTTGGGAAACGGTGATTTGATTCTATTAACCAGCCGATTCCATTAAAAGGAGACCCGTTTTTTCTCCACGTATCTACACTGTTTCCTGCAGTGTTGGGTTGTGTCTACTGGGCTGCGGAGGCCACAGGGGAGGGCAGCATGTGGTCAGTAATTTGCAGCAGCTGTGTTTGAGCCTTTGCTTTGAGCACCTCCTAAATGTTACATAATGCTACGTACTCTGAAAAGTTAGAATCAAGTTATCTCTTACTGGGTACCCTTTATTTCCCTGTGCTACTGTTGCACAAATTGCTAGTTTCGTGCCCCTGGAGGCTTTCTCCAAATACCTCAAGGAGGGAGTCACACGCTCAGGCTGGGTCCATTTCAAATTTATTGTTTGCGCAAATAATAAAGATCGACTAGGGGGCTAGTAGCCCAAAGCAGAGTCGACCCCCGGTCTTTGTCCGAGGGTCTTTTTATAGCTTATCTAAACAAAGAACCGTAGCGTTATGCAGTTATTGGCTATCCTATAGCTTCTACAAGCTTCTACTGTTTCGTCTAAGTTTCTGCAAGACATCAAAGTTTCCACAGGATGTCTTGGGTTTTCATGCTATGCTTAACTTATTATGGGTTATGTTACAGCACCTGTGTCTTTTTAACAGGGGGGTCTTTTATCTTATGTCTTTAATCTATGTGCAGAAGCTAAGGCAGAAGGCATTTGCAAGCCATGTCGAATACAGAAGCATTTTGCAAAGAAAGCACTATGTCTAAATTCAATCATTATGTCTGACCTCTAATCGTATTTGTACCACACTACTGTTCCTCATCTGTAAAATGGGGATAAAAATACTATCCCATCTCTCGGAGGATTTGGTGAAAATAAATGACACTTTGAAAGACTTCTAACCTATGGAAATGGCCGCTTTAGAAAACCCCTTGAAGAAAACAATTTAGACTTTATATCAAAACCTGAATGGAGTACAGTAAATAAAGGGTAGGACTACTCACTGAAAAATGAGATGTAAAAAAATATTGACGTGTCTGTCTTATCCTGTGCATTGAATGAGGCGGGCTCCTGTAGAGAAAGTTAATTGTGATCAGTTAATTAAGGACAG